TAAGTCAAGTCAAGTGTGTAAGTCTTGAAGTTGAGAAATATAATTTACCATTTATTTACTTACCTCTTCCTATTAGTGTTGTCCTTCCTATCAAGCCTTAGCCAAACCTAGTTAGTAAACCTCTCTTTCCTCCAACAGCGAGAACTCAGTAAAATAATGTTTTACATTTAGATCAAAGGTTGAGAAATGGAGCTGCCATTGATGATTTTAATACCTGGTTTGTTTTGTTGAAGTCCATGTATCAAAGGGAAAACAGGAGAACAACATCTTTACTTGTAAATAAATAGATGAATTTTGAGAGTATAGAATGTTAAATTAGCCTTTTCAGTCCATTTGTTAAGTGCATCATCGTTGCACTATACTCGATGGAACTTGACAACACAAAAGACAAATATTTTTCATTCGTTTCTTTTTATCTTGGTCAATCAGTTTGTCTTTCTTCTTGAATGGTATAGGTAAATTACTATTGGTTTATATTCGTTTGTATATATTAATTTATAATGTGACCTATCCGTCATATTGAACATAGAACTTTGCACCTACTCTTTGAACTCGTTCATATTGGCATTTGCAATTTTGCTACTATACTCATATCTAACCAAGTAAAAAAAGTACATTTGCATGAATAACGATCATTTTAGAGAGGATTTTTTTCCATTTTGCATACCCTTTGATACACTTCTATATTGATGACTAGTCATGCATTTCTCCATTATCCACCTTTTACAAGGTAAATTTGGATTGTCTTTGGTTTGTCTAGAAAGATGTGGTTCGAGGAACTATATGCGGAGCAATTCGGCATAAATTGATACAAACATCTCAAAATTTAGTAATTTCAACTCCATTAACTACCACTTATGAATCTTTTTAAAGTTTACACCCCTTATCTCAAGTTATGGATTGAACTAATCAATTGACACAAACAGTTCATGAGAAGAAAAAAAGAGTTATTTAGGCCCAAGATGACTAACAGGATGAACTGTTAGTTTTCTTATACAAGCACATTGATTTAGATTATAACGAACCACTGTGAAGTTGATTATTTCGCATAATGGAGAGGGAAAATGTTGCATTTAAGAGCGTAGTTTTGAGAATTAAGGAAACAAAACGCAAATGTAAAATTTGTAAACTATGCACATTGTAATACTAACAAACGTGATTTAAAATGAATTTTGACAATATCAAATTGCAAAAAGACTAGTTTGGGTTGCAAAGTATAGTTATCCCCACAATTTAGTAGTCGTAAGTATATTTCATGGATTTATAGGGAATAATTTGCAATTTATAACAAAATATCTAAACAAACTACAAGAATATTGGCCATGAAAGTTTACTGTTTTATTATCGTTATAACGGCATAAACATCATGATATGTCACACTCAGCAAATTTTAGATCGTCTTCGTTCGTATCTCATGTTTTACTCCTAAAATATTTCCTTAATTACCTAATTTGTTGTCCAACTTGTACAGTGGGCCCGTCACCTGACCTAGAGGAGTGCTAAACACTGACTTAAGTCCCATAAAATATCTTATTATAATTAATTATTCATTTTAACTTAAATTTTACTATTATTTTTTTTTCAAGTTTAACCAAGCAGTAAATGTACAAAGGTTAAAACTCTCACTGTCCCGATAAATATGGATCCAGCAACCCCTACCAACCCTAATTCCTATGTGCATGTAACTCTCCAATCTCTCTCTCTACTCTGAAACCTCTGTAGTTTCTCTATAGCCAGTCATGGCGTCCCTGAACTGCTCAGCCGGCCAGCTAGCGCCCCTTTTCGGCACCAACACCACAAATGCCACCGCCGCTGCAGAGTACATTTGCAGTCAGTTCTCCGCCGTGTCCAACAAGTTCACTGACACCGCCTTCGCCGTAGACTCCACGTACCTCCTCTTCTCTGCATATCTCGTTTTCTCTATGCAGCTCGGCTTCGCCATGCTCTGCGCTGGCTCAGTCCGAGCCAAGAACACGATGAATATAATGCTCACCAACGTTCTCGACGCCGCAGCCGGAGGTTTATTCTACTATGTCTTCGGCTTCGCCTTTGCCTTCGGCTCACCCTCCAACGGCTTCATTGGCAGCCACTTCTTCGGCCTCAAGGAAATCCCATCTTCACTGTTTGATTACAGTTATTTTCTTTACCAGTGGGCTTTTGCTATAGCCGCCGCCGGTATTACAAGCGGCTCTATAGCCGAGAGAACTCAATTTGTTGCTTATTTAATTTACTCTTCTTTCCTCACTGGATTTGTATTCCCATAGTTTCTCACTGGTTCTGGTCATCAGATGGTTGGGCCAGTGCAAACAATACAGAAAATCTGCTATTTGGATCCGGAGTCATCGATTTTGCCGGGTCAGGTGTTGTTCATATGGTTGGTGGGATCGCTGGTTTTTATGGTGCGATGATTGAAGGTCCAAGAATCGGGCGGTTCGACCACACTGGTGCTGCCGTGGCTTTGCGCGGCCATAATGCGTCCCTGGTGGTTTTAGGGACTTTCCTTTTATGGTTCGGATGGTACGGCTTCAATCCCGGATCCTTTACCAAGATTCTTAACCCATATACCAGTGGGAGTTACTACGGACAATGGAGCGCCGTCGGACGCACTGCGGTCACCACCACCTTGGCCGGCTGCACAGCCGCATTGACCACCCTTTTTGGTAAACGAATTCTGTCCGGCCACTGGAACGTAACGGACGTTTGTAATGGACTGTTAGGTGGTTTTGCAGCGATCACCGCCGGATGCTCGGTGGTGGAGCCGTGGTCGGCGGTGATATGCGGGTTCGTGGCGGCACTGGTGCTTATAGGGTGTAACAAAGTGGCGGAGAAGATAAAATACGATGACCCACTAGAGGCGGCGCAGCTGCATGGGGGTTGTGGTGCTTGGGGTGTTATTTTCACTGCATTATTTGCGACTGAGAAATATGTGAACGAGGTGTACCCGGGAAGACCGGGTAGGGCATACGGGTTGTTCATGGGCGGGGGTTGGAGACTTTTAGCCGCGAATATGGTCCAAATTGCTGTAGTAATCGGGTGGGTCAGTGTGACTATGGGTCCTCTGTTCTTCGGTATGAACAAACTCAAGCTTCTTCGGATCTCTCATGACGATGAATTGGCCGGTATGGATCTGACCCGACATGGTGGATTTGCATACACTGATGATTCATCGAAGCAGGGAATTTAACAAGAATAGAAACAACTACCATTTCGAATTAGGTATTCATTGTCGAAGTTGATCAAATTTTATTTCAGATTATTAGAATAATTAGTGAATTATAATTTTATGAACGAACTATTTGTTGATTTGACTCGTAATCTATTTGTTGATTTTTAGTTGAGTTTTGATGTTTCATAACTAGGGGCATCAATGGGTTGAAATGAGCCAACTCGATCCTTAGAAACCTAAGTCAGCTCGGCCCTAAGGATAAGCCAAGCTCGATTGGTGTGGACACAAGAAGAGCTTGAGCTTGGCTCGTGTCGACTCTCATTTTTTTATTTTTTAAATTAATTAATAAGTCAAAAACAAGTAAAAAATCATGTCAGCCCACGAGCTCAAAGACTACAATTGGTTCATAGCTTCCGACATCAATCAACTAATCTTGTGTTTTCCCCATTTTTTCTTTATCCATTCCTCTCCGACTCTTTGAAATCCTTCCTAGAGGTGCCCTCAAAGCTGCGGACATCGATCGACTAGTCATGATGTTGCTGAGAATATTCCCCAAGTTACCATTGATTTATCACAGTTCACATCTCGCTATTTGTTGTTTCATCAGAAAATTTTGCATCAGTTCTTGGAAATCATGATGTTGCTGAGAATATGAATTGGTCGTTCAATGTTGTAATGGCTTTCTTTTTCTTATTTTTATAATTAATTGGCTTTCAATTCTAACTGTGTTTATGCGTTATATTTTTATGGCATTTAAGATTTGTGTTATTTTAACGTTCCATCATACTTTGAAAGTTTGGTACATATTTCTTGTCATTTAAGATTTTTGCCGTTCGATTATTTCGTGATATGCTTATAATACTTGCATAAGCGCAACATTGCTGCAAATAACCATTTGGGAAGAATTTATGAATTGTGAATAATACTAATGGGTCCATTGGAATGTTTTGTTGAAAATGAAATTCAATCATTTATAAATAAAACTCAAAATATAACACACTTCTCATTTCCTCGGGAGAAACCCAGTATGCAAATGTCAAAGAAGGCCATATATGAAAAGTGTAGGCCAGAACCATTAGTTCCTCTATTCATAATGAAGGTTAAAAGGGTTTGTAGAGTTTTGTTTAGTTTTAAAATTGATATCATTGTCACAGCGGTTGGTCAGAAAGACAGAAATTTGATCCACTTGAAACTGGAATCACTGATCTCTACAAAGTTAGCACGGGAAAATAGCAGCAGATATCTGTACAAAACCCACTGAGAGAAATATAAGCTGTTTGATGCCAAACTCTCCACATGCTATAGCCTTTTATCGAGCACTGGACACTTCATGGTTCATAAATTCAACTTTAGAGATGCTGGCCAGGCAGGACATTTTCTCAAATAATATGCAACATCACATCCTGGAAGAATAGCAAAGACTGTCATCAAAATCGGAGTACAATAACATGCAGCCTTACGGTGAGTTGAACCGTTAGAATGTGTGTTTAACACAATTAACATGAGTTAATAATGTATAGCTACTATTCTGTACCTCATTTAGACAGGAATCAATATATTATAGGAATATATAATTTTCCTTTCTCTAGCAGGATTAAACTTGTAGAATGTGTGGTTTGTGTTGAATAAATCATTGAGTCAAATATCAATTACATTCTTCACTAAATCTATTAAACTTTCTGATTTTCTCCTCTCAAAGTCATCTCATCTATTTTTCGTGGATCCGTTACAAATAGGAAAAGAAAGAATAAAACGTTACTTGTAAATCAGTTCATTTTCTAAACAAGTATAACTTCTTCATTTGGATGTTCCCTCAAAATTGAAATATGAAACTCCTTGATAACCTAAATTTTACATTCTAACACACACAAACAGGGGCTTTTTTTTGTCAATAAGACAGCTGGGAAACACTCCAGCTTTGGCAAATCAAGGAAATGTCTACATAAGAAATGCTTAAAATCCTTGTAACATTTAAAAATAGTATAATCACGAGGATAGATGGCCTTCAAACAGCAATAAAGAAACTTTAAAAAGGATAGGGTGGCGATTAGTCCAGATGTAAGCACGTGTTTTGATAAATTTATAATCGTTTATAAATGGTCAAACTTCATTTTTAACCACACATTCCAATAGGCCCACCACTTTTTAACCACATGTTACATTTATAAAGAGTTCATAAATTTTGCCACACCCACTATAAATACTCGAATAAAGCAAGGATACTAACCATAGACACTGGTGACACGCTTCATATGTTGCCCTTCATCAACAGTAATCAGCCTTCTAATGCATAGGATGGAACCTTCAATAGGTGAACCAATTGCTTATAAGCATTCATACAATATAAAACAACAGCAATCGTAATCAAAAACAGTCACTCAGTGACTAGACCATGCATATATGTTGAGACCTGCTTCAAATACCATGTGATGTATGCCAGAACAAGCCTGCAGTACCATGGGGATAAACACAGTATCCAGATGAACTAACAAATATAGGACATTGATGCCAGTGCATAACATCAACAAGGATAGAAAAGGGTTCCAACATGAACGAGGTTAAAATCTCTGAAGTATGTTTGTGGTCACGTGCCCAATCTCAAACAGTTCAACAAGTTCCTCGACTCTAAACCATTTTGCCACTGTGAATTACTCTCAGATGTATACATTGATCAAAGGAGCAGTATCATTGTCACATACAGTTTCTGTCAGATGGAATCGAAAGTAAAACCAGAGAACCTTATTACATAACGTAACAGTTTTCAGCAACTGCATCTAGATTTTTTTTTTGTGGTAGAAAAAGATGTAGTTGCATTCGTTGAACGAATTAGAGGCCTCCTTATTCGCATGATGTAAGGAAATGATCTCTGGCCTTATCTCACTGCTGGTTTGTAGGATGAGATTCATATAGGCTAATCAATGAAGTAAACTATTAAAGCTTCCCTTCCTCCATTCCTCTCTCCCTAAGTATATGGTAAGAACCAAGAGGGAAGACCAGGAGTTCATAGGAAGACAGTTAAAGTGAAAATATAGAATAAGGTCCTTATTGATTAGCTGCAATTATCAGACATATATATATATACACACACACACACATATATATAGGCAAGCAAACTGTGCAGATCTATTGCATGGATCAGAGGAATACATTATTAACATATTCATGAAACCTCTTGCAATTAAAATATTTCAGGTAATTCGTCATCAAAGTAATTTCCACAGAAACATGTTCGTTCAATATAGCCCGTTTAGAAGACAGGGAGTGAATGATCAGTATATGTAAAGCTTCTGTACCTCATACATATTATCATCAGGAAAATAGGATCTGTCGTAATGCAAGCTGTGAGAATTATCGGGCTGAAGAATTCTCAGCTTCCCTTCCTACAATATTAAGAAAAGAACCATCAACAAAGGAAAAAACTCAACCACAAGATCTGACTGATTTAAAAAAAAAAAATTAATAATAAAAAAATTAATATTAATAATAATAATAAGATAGCTTTGTCGTTTACCTTTGTTCCATATACAAGGCCACCGCCAACTGAAGGATGGAAACTAGCTACATTGACCTCATCCTCTGCACTTGGAAGAACTCTTACAAGTTCCATATTACAAACTTTGTAAATCTGTGCAACAAAAGGAGATTCTGAGAGGGGTAATGACCAATGTGCATAGGTCATAATAGCACCAGACAATAGTTACTCAGAGTATGCTAGTTCTCTGTGTACTTAATAATATTTACATACAGTGAAGCAAAAGGATTGCAAAATATGCAGAATATAGTTTTTCAAAGAGCTCTTTAAGCCGAGGTTCTAAAAGGTGTGAGGCATGACAAGGCGGCAAGATTCAAGCCTCAACCCCTACAAACCTAGGCGTAATAAAATATTTCCTCATTTTTAATATTATTTTAATTATTCTAAAAACATTTAACAATTATTCATTTTAGAGTGCGTTCAGAAAGATTTCTAACTGATTTATAAATCATTTATAAATGGAATAGTTACGCAGAAGCGTAACAATTTGACAATGAACAAGAAAAGAACAGGGATCAAAAAAGAGAAGAAATTAGGACAAAGAGGAAATCAATTTATTCATACATTCAAGGGTTCATATTACAATGAATAAACCCTCTATATAGAGAGCAAATAATGAACTTCTAATAAAATATAATTTATCTAAATATTAAAATTAATCTGATCTAATCTAATAGTCATAATATGAATTAAACTCTATATTAAACTAATATCTAAATCTTATCTTTATTCTATTTCTATCCTCGTCAAAAGGTGTGGTTAAAAAATGGTTGATCCTTCAGAATGTGTTATTGAAAATGAAATTTGACCATTTATAAATCATTTATTGATTGATCCAAACAAAGGCTTAATTAGTTTAAACCTTTAATAAAAAAATAAAAAGGGGGCAAAAGAAGGGTGCGGGTCAAAATAGTGTTGACTGCGTTTTCCACGCCTTCCCCATATGTGAGGCTTTTTCCTCGTGCCTCATGCCTAAGCTGGCTTATGCCCCGCCTTTTAGAACACTACTTGAAGCGACAATCTAGTGAAAATATTCTTGCACCTAGAGTCTCCTAGGAAATCACACAATAATGACAATAAAACGGCACGAGCTAACATACACAAACATATTAGCATTAAATGTCCAGCATCCCCAACACAAATTTTTAGATATCCATATTCTTTTCCACTTCTAAGATCACATGATTTTTGCAGCCAGGCAATTACTTTGCAATCGAAGTGCAGTTACCCTTATGTAGGTCTGACTTCCCCAAATTATCGTTCTTCGAAGAAGTTCTTTTAGTACATGATTAAATGCACTTTCTCTGATGATATAGTTGGAAATATATGTCTCAAAAAATGCATAATGCCACAATGTTGTGTCCACGTCTCAAGTCAAAAAGCACATTTCTAAAAAGGAGGAAAGGAAAAGGACCTTACTGACGTTAGGCAGGTAAACTAGTCCTATTGTCCTCATTGTTGTTAAAATATGTGTTTAACAAGATTTTTCTATCTCAGCAGTCTGTTATAATAAAAAAATGCAACCAAATGATGGATCTTTTCTCAGTGATAAAATTTAGAATCCAAGAGAATCACACAACATGTACAAATGTTCACTAGACCGTAAAACCGAAACTGATCCACGGTGTTACTAAAAAGGAGCACATATTCTAAATTCAATATCTCACCTCCAGAATTGTGTATATTGGAACTGTTGTATCTCCATCAATCACCACACTTTTAAGAAGTGAACTATGGCGCCGTCCATAGGCAAGTAACAAATGTTCTGAGGTAGGAGAGAACTGCAATTGAAAATAATGCAGAAATGCTTTATAAGGTCAATAATACAGATTCAAAGTTCCCAGTCACCATACAGAAATGTATAGATGATTATGAAATCTGAGCAATTAAGTACAATGATAAATCAAGAAATTTTATTCACCTTCAGGTAAATCACTATATCTAACTTTCTACTTAATTATTTGGGATTTCTAATATTAGACTAAGCATCAATTGCACATGCAAAATGCACATAATGGAAATGAACTTTGTCCCAAAAAATGCAGGGTATAAATTGACACAATTATCAGCTATATAGGAACTAGAATTGTTTTCCAGCCAGAATGTTATATTGCAATCTCCAAACAATATCCCTCTTATCATCATTTCAGCAACCTCCCAGGCCTCAACAAGTACATGAAACATATAATATAACAGGGCTGCATCCAGATAAAAGCCGAAGAAGAACACAGACATGGGTTCTTATCCACAAGCAACAGTCAAAAGACTCAAAACAATATGCTACTAAGTTTTAGTTCTTGACAATTTCCACAGAAGAAAGCTTTTCCTTGTTTCGAGATTTTCAAAGTTACAAAAATATAGTTGAAAGAATGTCTAATTAGATGGCTTCGTGACAAAAAAAATGACGACCACATCCTGATACATTCTCGTCTCAAAGAGAGGAAATTAAAAACACAGCCAAAAGCCAGCCACATAGGAGTCCAAATAACGGAGATAAGGGGCACTTATCCACTAAAGGATGGCCCAAACAATTTATTAAGATTTATTTGTTGACAACTTCTGCCTACGTAAAGTTTCCCTTATTAAGTTACAAAAACATAGGTGCCAGACTATCCCATTAGATGCTGCTGTGACGTTAAACAGTGCAACTGCTTCCCACCATGCATTCTCATCTCAGAGAGAATGGCATATTGTGTATCTAATACTGGGTTCTATTTGGGCATGTGCTTGTACAGGGTAAACGACATATCAGTAATAAACCCTAGAAACCATCAAAATTTGTCTGCTCCGTCCAGAAGATAACCGTGTACCCTTGTTAGAAGCATTATAATTTCATCCATCAGCATCACTGACTGTCTAATCAATTTGGTATTCTCTTGTTTAAGATTTTAGCAGGATTACTTCTAGTTTATTATCAATAACAGACTTCCTAGGGAGGAGAAATAGTTCAGAAGACAACATTGTTTACATCTTCAGATAGATCCCAGCACTTACATCCTTTGAACTGGATGGTATATGACTATAATATAGCAAGTGCTACAAAAAGTGAAGACAGTGAAAGAGGGACCAGAAGAGAATTAAAATGTATACAGCGTGCCACTAGAAGTTTAAATAAATGAAAATCAAATAATATACTGCAAAAGAAGATGGCACTAATAACTTGCATAAAATATGTAGTTACGGCAAGGTAATTCTTCAAACAGGGAATGGCATCTAAATAGAATACAGTTGAGAAACTTTCAAGCCACGTCTGATCAGGAAAATGCATTGCATTTTTATTATTGTCGACACATGATGCTGGATTATATGGAAACCGTTGTTTCCTTTATTTATAAATGAACATTTCATAAAATGAGCATCCATAATTTTTTTCTAAATTTTCTGTCAGATAGCTAAAATGCCATTAACTTAATAATAAAATTAACCTGTATTGAAGTCAAACAATGAGCAGCTCTGATAGCCCGTGAGGTTAGAACTGAGCCAAATCTACATAATCAAAGCATCATCAATTTAAAGGGATATATCTCATAAAAATAAGATCAAGATGGAATATAATCGGCAAGATGCGGGAACTTCAGACTTACGTTGCCTCTTCAAGGGAATATACTCTTAGTTCATACATAACTTGATGGGTTGAAATGGGATGTCTAGTTGGAGATGTTGAGGCCCCTCTAACATCAGGCTGAACCTGGCCTTCAAAACCTGAGTCAGCTTCCGTGTTTGGCTGGATACATGCTACACAGACAGCTAAAAATCTTCCACATGGAGAAAAGTGGGCACCCATTTCACTGAAAAAATATATAATTATAATAATTAGAATTTAGAAATCATCGAGACACACAAACTACTGTCAGGAAATCAATGTTGCAGCCCGTTTAGCTTAAACTCACTTACCTACAAAGTACAGCATGAGGAATAATTAAGCGACACCTCTCTGTATCAAGAAGTGCGCAAGGATTTTCCATGTCATGAGACCATATTCTAAGCTTCACAGTACAAGGTAACTCAGCAGCTGCAGCTAGTGATGTGGCTACCTCGGACTGGACTTGGCTCATGAAAGGTTGTGAATTGCTCTGCTCACGAGGGGCACTGTTAAAAGCAGCACCATCACCAGATCCACTTGCTTGTATTGTGCGGGAGCGTGAAGAACGGTGACGTGACCCAGATCTTCCACCAACCCTTGAACTACTAACACTATTTACAATTGCCGGTGAAGCCATTGAAGTTTGACTCCCTGTTTCCCCATAAGAAGAAATACCATCAGTAGCACCTCCATTTCGTGAGTGCATTGACCATTGGCCAGCTTGGCTTTGACCAGTTAACCACCCTTGCAAGAATGGGAGTTCCCAATATGCTGGGTCACCAAATGGAAAAAGTTGATTGTTTATCTCATCAGGGTGAACATCTGTATCCATTGCATCCACTGCAGTCTGAGAAACAGCAATTTCCATTTCTGTCGTTAAAGAATTAGTTTGTGACCCTTCTCGCAGAGGAGAGCTATTAGATTCAATTGGAGACAACACTAGTTCATACTGTCCAGATGGAGTTGAATACGTGAGAAGCCGTATGGAGGAAGAAGAATGCACACTCTGTTGTGGAACGCCAGAGCTCATGACTGCACCAGTATGTTGGGAAGGTAACCTCGCATCAACTCGGCCAATTGGAGGCCAAATCAGAGAGGGTATAGACATAATGGGCTCATTTCCTGAATTAGATCGATGAGCTGTGTGAGCATCTGCCAAATATATTGTAGGAGGAGGGTAGCGCAAGTAGCCAGGAGAAGTTGCAAGCATCATTGAGGGGTCCGATGAGTCGAGATCATTGACCTGTAAAGGTCGACACTGTAAATTGCACCAAGAGAAAGAAACTTGACAGCATGCAAAGTAATACCTCGGCAGTTAGAAGAAATGGCGCAGCATGTGGATGGAAATGCACAGCCCTGAGTGAACGGCGAGTCTTAAGTATAATTGTTGGTGAAAAAGCATCCCCTTTCCTGTTGTAGTGCCATATGAAGAGCTGCAACGTGCTAAAATGTCAACAACAGTGTAGCCATGCAAAGCTAAACTCTTCAATGATATGTCCAAATTTCTAACCTTGTGGCCTGAAGCCACAGCCAAAATTTCTCCTTCTGCGTGGAAGGCAATAGAAGCTATAGGACGGTCTGCAAGAAGGAAAATCAATAGCCAAAATTAACCGAATTTAAAACATTAATATAGATATAAAATATTTCTGAAACTCAGAATGTCAAATGTAATTACAGAAGTCACAAGATCCTATACACTCAGCAGTGTTTGCATCCCACAACCGAACTTCATGGTCTAAACTTCCACTTGCAAGAATTTCAGGATGGAGTGGATGGAACCTAACCTGCAGAAGCCCATAGCCGTGGCAAAAAACAAAGAAACAATGACACATCAAATGAATTGGTGAAGAGTAACATAAACAAAACGATGCAAACAAGCAATTATCTGTTACATGCAAAATTTATTGTCAGAGGCAGATCACAAGAAGCAATAGAGGTCTAACACTTTGTAACACCTTCTCAATAGAACATTAAGCTACATATTCTACAGAATAGAAGGTTGGATAAATTTCTACATCATTAGTCAGAAGTGAAAAGAATTTTATAAGAATTTATTGACATGGTGAAATTAAATAATACACATTAGTCTATGTATATGCTACCTTCTTATTTCTCTTCTTCTCTAACTTCCCATTTATTTACCTCTATGGGATTAAGAGTCAAACTGACCTCCCAAGAAGAGCTACCAAATCATCCCTTCATGGTAGTATCATAGACGAACTGATGAAATTAATATTTAAATTTTCAGAAGAGAGCTTACCACCCAAGGTGTCCTCCGATGACCACTCAACACCTTTAAGCATTTTCCAGTTTGGCAGTCGATTATTTTTACAGTATGGTCTCCACTGTAAACATAGAACATAATAATTTTTTTGCAAAATCTAACTCAAAAGAACCCGGTATGATTTTAAAATTAAAAAGTTGGTGTGTTTGTATGCACAAGAGAGAGCGGGGGGAAGGATAATTACTGGGTAGAAGCAAGTGTTGTCCCATCAGGACTAAAAGCTGCTGCGATGGTTGACCTGGGTGGAGGTAACAGTGAACAATAATTGGCTGATAAATGTAGCAATGACTGTGCCTCTACCCTGTAGTATTTAGAATAAAAGATTTCAAGAAATCAACTAGTTTATGTAGCAACAACGTGAAACATCATTAAGATTCTACAAAATAGTGCAGTCGACATGACAGATACCATGAAAGAAGTTCTTGTCTTGCGTCTTTTGCAGCTTCACATTTTAATCCAGAGGATTCATGCTGACATCTTGAAGTGTCTCCCCAGAAGCTTCTGAGGGATCGCTTTGTGCGTGGAGACACCTCCCTCCGAGCTAACAGTTGAAATACATTACTACAAGTATAGCATATTATATCCAGTCAGCAACCATTCACACCAAAAAAATGTGAATTTTCAAAATTTTGTTCCTCTCTGACGGCAAATACATATTATTATATTGGTGCAAATAACAAGTGAAGCAATCAGCAAGTGTGTTCATGCACAAGTGTCTAATTTGTCAGCACGTCCCAGAACTAAAATCCAATGCAAATCAGCCTAATAAATGCAACATAGTTCGAGTTATGGCACTCTCTCATCTGATCATTTGTTCAGATTTTCTTACTCTTTAGCAAACAAAGAGAAAGAGCAATGCAACTCAGCAACATCTTTCAAATTTTGAAAACAGCAACAAAACCAATACCTTATCAGTTTATGGAAAGACTAGACATGTATAAGATTGTTAAATTGTGCTATCCAACAACACTAAAGAACAGATATCACTAAAAATTCCCAATAAGACCACATCTACTAAATTTAAAGCACAGCGAGACCACAAAAACTCCGTGAACCCTAAGCTAGAAAACATAAAATTGACGCCATTCCAGTAAAAAAGTCAAAATCCAGTAAACTAAAATTTGATGCTTGCAAACACCAAATCCATCCACATCTGCAGTTATTAAAAACTAAATTAATTTGAAGTTTCACACTCACGTGATCAAACAAAGCTAGCAACATCATGCCCTTCAAAACCAAATGCAGTAACTTCCTACACAAGCTAGGATCAATAAAACTTATTTAAAATACACCAGTAAATTTTACATTGGCATTAAAATCATTATTTGCAGCCACATATGGAGGTTATTTATCACTTATGTGTTTAAGCAACAAATCCTATCTGTCGTTTCCTTATATGTTGAACTTAACTTCAATTGCGCTTGAGCTAAACAAAAGATCCAAAATTCAGCTTAAAAATAGATAAAATCACTCAAAAGCAATCAAATTCCAGATCTTTGCATTCAAGAAGGCGCAAGATTTCGGTGAAATCAGACTTAAAAATTTAACCTTTGTTTAGAATTCGCATGGGGAGTGGGCCCCACATGAGGAAGGATCGGTTGGAAATTGGACGTCGATTGAGGAGCGGCGGTGGAATTCTCCGGGCAAATCGATGTCGACCTCATAATTAATTACAATTCACTATTCAAATTCAAATTCTCAACAAGAAAATCGTTCAGTCAGGAAATATCTTTCCGGCATCTCTGAATTTTTTAAAGTTGGGAAATTTAGGGGTTTAACATCGATTTGGCAGAATTGTTCACGAATTTCCCATGAATTCTTGCCAAATTATAAAGATGGCGGTGATCTGAGAGAAATGGGGCGGTGATAGGCGGAGGACGGCGGCGAAGAAAAGAGCGGATTGTGGCTTTTCCGGCAATGGACTGTGATACATTTGATGTTACGATGGCGTTTAATTTGACAGAAATGTCCACATATTTGACGGGATGAAGCCCAGTCGTTTAAAAGGAGCGTGTAAACCACCCTTTGGTTATGTGGATGAATGCGTACGAAGGATAATTTAGGCCTTGTTTGATTCTATTTTTTCCAGAATACATATTTTTCTTTTTTATTTTTAACAATATATTTTTTAATAAAATAATATTAAACGTAAATTTAAAACTATTTCTAATTTTTTAACCACACATTCTCTATCAATTCACTATTTGAAAATACATTTTACCCATGTAACGAGACTCAAACAAGTCCTTAGCCTATGCAGGGTTCAAACCCTTCTTGCATGTTTGAATTTTGATTTTGAATTCACAAAATTCTAAACATCTCTCACTCTCTTCTTTCGTCGGTGTAACATCTTCCCACTCACCAAGGGCAAATTGCTTCCAAACAAGGGTTAGCTTCCAAGCATGCCCAACCCCATTTTTTCCTCTTCCCCTCACCTAGACTGCTACCAACATATTTGCTTTTCCCTATCGCCTTCGTTCTCACTCATCTCAACAAGCTACATGAGAGGTGCTTAAGAGCTTTGAATATCTTGTTTCCAAAATTAAATCATTATGTGCCTATAGAATTATTTTCTTATATTTTTAGCCTACATGAATACATGTATATATTCAGCAATAATTGCAACGACCATACTTTGAATAAAAATTTATAGTTAATTTAATAATATAAACCATAATTTTATTCGTGATTGGTGGTATGACATTATATTTAGGGGGAATTGCGGTCACAGTTCCAAACCTTTGGAATATTTGCACCAAAAGGATAAATGGAATATTTCCATCCATTTGACCGTTTGTTAACGCTAGTACAGTTTATTTTATCAATATTTGAAAGTGTAAAACGGTAAATTTACATATTTCACAAAAAAACCAAATATGATAAATAAATAAAAAACCAAAACCCATCTCCTTTCCCACCCACATCCAACCCCTTATCCATTACCCCAAAACCATCGTCACCCACCCACCGTCGCCTCAAACACATACAACACACCTAAATTACACAACCACCGACTATAACAACGCCACCTCTATCTACATTATTATCTCTTTAACCAACACATCATCATATCTGAGTTCCCAAAGTTAAAACACTCATTTCAATTATGTCTAGTTTTTTTTTTGCTTTGATTGCTATAGTGATTTCATATTCTTCTTTCAGATTAGAAAAATCGAAACTGATTTTGAAATCAAATTTGATTTTGAGGTTTTCGCCACTGTTGTGTAAGTGGAGGTGCTAGTGAATGAAAGTGGTGATGATGAGGAAAGGCAATAACGAAGATGGCGGAGGTGCCAGTGATGACTACTGTAGAATTTGTTGGGTATGGTGCGATGGCGATGGCGATGGCGATGGCGTGAAAGTTCGATTGGGATAGTGAAGGTGATTTAAATAGTAGAGACTGTGTGAACTGTGGTGCCTATGTTTGAGGTGATGATGATCTCGGCGTTGAGTAGGTGGAGGTGGCGGCCGACCACTGGTAGCAGTTGTTTTGGGAAAGAAGTAAGGGGTTGTATGAGAGGTGAATGAAATGGGTTTTGGTTTGGTTTTTAGTCCCTGTTTGAGCAACATTAAAATTTTCATTTTCATTTTCATTCTCATTCTTCCATTCATTTTCAATTACACATTCTTCAATAAAATAATATTTTTAATCACATCAATAACTTTTCCTTCTTTTTCAACCACACATTCTCCATCAATCTACTATTCAAAATAATATCTATCAAACACACCCTAAACCCATGTTTTTAAAAGTGCAACTATGTCAGTGGAGGGGTTTAAAATCCAGACCGTTGATTTCAAATAATTTAAAAATCTGTTTTTAAAATGATTGATGTAGATATTATTTTGTCAACCAACTTTGTAATCCAACTTTATACATGTAGCATAACTCGAAAAAGAAAGACAATAGCGCTAGTCATACATGCCGATTTATACGATGCTTGACACGGTGACGTGTCAAATGCCTGATTATTCCAAAAAAATTAAAAAAAGTAAAACCAACAAATATGGGTCAAACTTGAACCAACCCATTATATAAAGCACCCACTATTCCCAATTGGTCCCATTCCCAAATCAGGAAAAAACCTTTTGTGGCGCAAAACTCATTCGAACTCCATCACTCCTTCATCTCTCAACTGGAATAAGAAGCCGATGGTTAATGTAGCAACCATCTCCATGTTTGGGTTTCCCACCGTAGGTTAATCACACAGTTGGTAATTTTTTTAAAGCCATAAGACCGAAGCTCTACCGTATGCAGCAATATCTTCAATCTCCGACACCATCCATCGACTCTGGCAGAATTTCTCAACAAACATCATGTAAGCATGATGTATTTGTTATCCATTTTACTTGATTTTGATTTATTCGAGTAATACTTATTTTTGAAGATTTTACGGTGCTTTGTGGATGTGTTGTAATGTAGCATCATATCTGGTTCGTTCATGTGCAGCATGCCAGGAAAGAACTCTGGACTTTGTCATAGCTATCGAGAGAAGGGTCACTTGTTTGCTGATTGCTCGAAAAATCGGCGATGCCCCTGGTGTAAAATTGGCATTGTGAAGTGCTTTGAGGTCGAGAAGAACACAAAGAACAAGGGTAGAATGTTCAATTGCTGCAGTGCTAATTGCAAGTATTGGGAATGGGTCGACAAAGGAGAATGTAGTGGCGGATTGAGTAGCGTCACCGTTAACTCAAATGATCACGTGCTGGTCGAAGAAGTTCAACAGTTTAAGATCACAAAGAACAATGGTAGAATGTTCAATTGCTGCAGTGCTAATTTTAAATATTGGGAATGGGGCGACAATGGAGAATCCAATTGCTGATCGAGTAGCATTACCGTGAACTCCAATGATCACGAGCTAGTCGAAGAAGTTCAACAGTTCTCTCCCTTGTTCGAATCCTTTTGTCTGATAGCCGATGAAAAAAATATTGAGATTTCGTTGAACGTGACAATACACAAGACCAACGGAAGTGCGGAAGTGAATAAGAAAGGGAAAGGACCTACATGAGTAGTAATTATGTTGTTGGCTATGTGGTTCCCTACCACTTTTGATCTGTAGTATATGTTATGTTGTGTAGTTGGTGAAGTGAAGAATGTTAGTGTAATATATGCTTGGGAAGAATCTATAATTTTCATTCACTATTTCTATCTCAGAAATGTTAATGTGATTGAAAACATCTTATTATTTCCAGTTCACCAATTTTCGTGTACCGATGCTAACTGAATACGCCAATAAGATATGCATACTTTCAGAAACCACATTAATATATAGAAAAGGAAGTTACTGCTGTCACATATACAAAGAAGAAGAGCATGCATAATTTTATAAACTACATTGATATATAGAAAGGGAAGTTACTAGTGTCACATATACAACATCATCTTGAATTCACAAAAAAATCAGAAAAATTCACAAAATTGACGATGTTGTGAATGACCAGAGAACAACATTCGGGTGAAGCATACAAATCTTCATCGGATCTCCACATTTGACACTTGCATTTCCCACTGTAAAATTATCATCTATTATTACCATGAGAATATAACTGCATCAATGTTGTTCGTCCAAAATCAAATGTTCCTGCCACGTTGGTGAGGTGCATTTGGATTATAGTACGACATTGCATTTTCTACAGTCAAATAATGAATTTATTAAGCAAACTAGAGTATGACTTGGAATAAATTCATTATGTTTAACCGCATACCTTGACCATTGAATAATGAAGCTGATGGAAAGAAATTTGGAGACATTCCTTGTTGTGTAGATACATGACCGTCGCCATCACCCTACACTAATTTCGTGATTTAACTAAAATGTGGAAATCAAATACATTGGTGAATTGAAATAGACGAACCATTAGAAGCTGTGAATTCAGTAATTGATCATGACCTCTCCTAATTTACTTGGGCCTGCTTTCTGTTTCCTTCCCTTGGTTGAAGTCGAATGTGACTGCATAATCAACAGATAATAACTATACATACGCATTGTATTATTAAAAAAAATGGTCACATACCTTTACGTTACTGGATGCTAATTCCAAAAGGCTTTTGTTTTGAAGTTTCTTAGGCGCGCCTTTTCTCTTCGAGCATTTTGGATCTTGTATACCTAAATTGCTATTTTGTTTCGACGTTCTACCATCTAACGATATTTGAAATACATGTTGGGACATGTGATTACTCATACTAAATGAGAGTTTTTTGGATTCTATCCACTCCAGTACCTCATGGAATCGATGATCGTCAACTGTAGCCATGTCCGCAAGTGACTGACACAACTTGTCATATTTCAACTGGGCAAGGTGCTACTCAAACCATCATAGTTCACTACGAACCTGGTGTGGGCTCTACGAACATCTCATCCCCATTTCCGTAATATATAGGTGTCCGGTAATGCTGTAACGTTATTACGGAGAAGTACAGAGATCGCGTGCCTGCAAATTACACCTCGAAACTTGAACAAGTGGCAACTGCAAACAATGTCGCATTTCTATCCTTCAAATGTCACGAAAAACTTATGCTTCTTAACCCGATAGTATGACATCCTCCAGAACCTCATAGGTTGTGCCTAAAAAGTCCTCCGACGAAGATATGAGGTCGCAATAAACCTTCCCAATGAATTCATCATGAACTTTCCGAAATTTTGAAATGGTGTCAACTTGTTGA